GTATTTTTTATATAACTTAATAACTAAGAATTTTTTATTAATATATATATTTGTAAGAAAAAAAATAGATATTAAGAGCTTTCGAATAAGATATAGGGATTTGAATTTAGATGGATATTCATAAAGTTAGACCCCTGCTTCGTGCAGATAATCATCATAAATATGAAGAAAAAAAATTTTTTTAAAACGTTTTTATCTATTCTGAATTATTAAGGCAACTTTTATTATAATAAACCTATATTTTTCTAAAAGCCCTGATCTTTAGCTACATAATGATAGTAAGATAAAAAAAAATTATTGATTTTTCATCAAGTTATTCTAGTTCAAAGTTGAATATTCAATAGGCGAATTTGTAAAAACAATTTTTACATTTAATACTTTAATCAATTCTATATTACTGAAGCAATTTTTATTATAATAAACCTATATTTTTCTAAAAGCCCTGGTCTTGAGCTACATAATGATAGTAAGATAAAAAAAAATTATTGATTTTTCATCAAGTTATTCTAGTTAAAATGTGAATATTCAATAGGCGAATTTGTAAAAACAATTTTTACATTTAATACTTTAATCAATTCTATATTACTGAAGCAATTTTTATTATAATAAACCTATATTTTTCTAAAAGCCCTGGTCTTGAGCTATCTAAAGATGATGAGATATAAAGTATTAGATGTGTTTTATTGATATCAGACAATTTAAATAATATTTATTTTGTTATAATTATAAAATTTAAAATTGTACCAAATTAAATAATTGCGTCAACATCATTTTACTCCAATATAATTGCGTCAATTGGAAATTGTCAAGTCACATGATTGCGTCATATGCATTTAATTGCGTCAAAATTGTATAATTGCATCATAATTGCGTCATGCGTTACATTAATTGCGCCATTGTAAAAATTTTAAATAATTGCGTCACCAGTAAATCAATTTCTACCACATGTATAGTTTAAACTAACAGTAGGACTTTTACCCCTAGATAGGTCCCCCCAAAAATATATAAAATCCATTCTAAGAGTAGCATTAATATTGATGGGATAATAAGTAAATAGGCTAGCATTTAACTGTTGTAATAACAATAGATGATGTTTGATGTAAATTAAAAATTGATTATTATTCAATAAATCCTGCATCTAATGCCATTCTACTATAAAAAAAAATAAATAAAAATAAAAATACAATATATATTGTATATATAAATAATTAAAATTTTAAAATATTTATTTATTGTTTATTAAAAATTTTCAATAAAATTATTAAATATATTAAATAAATAATAAAATTATTATATAAAAAATATAAATGTATTAATAGATATACTGTATAAAAATATGAAATGTTTAAAAAATAATTTTTTTTAATAATTGATATTAATAAACAAATTATAAATTAATTAATGAAATAATTTTTTTGATTTTAAAATACAGTATAATTTTGTCAATTGGTTTTCCAGTTTATTTTATATTTTATACAGTATTTTTTACAATTGTAAAATTATATATTTATTTATTTATTGTAATGAATATTAAATAATTATATATTAAAAAATTAACTATTAAAGATTTTATAGAAAAAATTAATTATTAAAAATTTTTTACTTAAATTAATGTAATTACGAATTGTTAAAGATTTTGATAATAAATTATTTATTTTATGTCTTAAAATTGAATATCAAAGTATTTAAATAATATTATTTCCAATTAAATTTTTTATACAAAATATTTAAAAAACGAAAATTACTTAAATAATAACAATAATAATGATATGTTTATATAGTGTATATGTGTCATGTACAGTAAAAATAAATCATATGTTACTGATTGATTATACAGTGGTAATGATTTTTTTTTATTAATTAAAAATTTATACAATGGATACTTGGAGTCAATCTTTATGGGGTACATAAAATCTATTGATCGAATCGATCAATCTTGCGACAGCACTCTCCACCGATGGGTAAAGACAACTATTATATCTTTGTTAAGTCTTTTTGAAGCTTGTATACTTTCATGAATATATACTTTAAATCGATTATACCTGGTACCCCACGAACTACCTACATGATCTTAGCCAAAACTGCTAAACCATATGATCGGTTTTCAACTAAACTTGTAAATTCTTCTATTTTTTTCTTAATTATTACGTCGGCACGAAAATCAAGTATCTTTATTATATACTTTTCACAATTAAAAGCACCAAAAGGTATGCATGCATTGATCGATTTACAAAAGTTTTATTATGAAAACGCGTAAAGAAATTCACTACCCAGTAGTGAATTCTTTCAAATTTATTGTTACAAGAACGTCAATCTGTGGCTGATTGATACAGTAAATTTATGTTCATACTGTATATTCGTTATATTTAAAATCAAAGAAATGTTTGATATTTTTGACACCTAATTTGAATTGTTAAAAAATTGAGGTAAAAATTCCAAGGGACAAATTTAATTTAAAAAATTTACAGGATTGGTATTACAAATACCTTGCGTTGTGGTTATGGTGATTGTTATCATGCTAAAGGAACAAATTTCGCATGTTTTTTTTTTTTTTTTTTTTAGAAAAAAACAAACAGTAATTGCGTATGCAAATTCAATATCAATTTCTCTTCGATTCGATAAAAATCGGCATAATCCCCTTCGCTTTACCATCTTTTTTTTTACCTAGGAATTCGTTGTTATCCTTTTCTTTCTTTCTCTCGATGTTCCAAACATAAGGAGCATGAAGATACCTAACAAACTACCTACGATGTCGTTTAAGTTTACATTAGATGATATAACTTTATCGTGAACAATATATATTAATGTATCAGCCGACACGAGTAAATTCACCAGAAGCAACACTAAAGAAAATGAAGCCATCCGTATCGCGGCTCCTCGGGTCACTCCGTGCCCCTTGTTTTTAGACGATTTACGGAATTTGAAGGGAATTCTAAACTGAACTTTGCTAAAGTTTTTATGTAATAAATTTTCGTGTTTCGTAAGTGTGTTGGCGCTTTTAGTGGAGCTTTCAGGATGATCAGATTCAATTGTAAGTACGTCAAGTGAAATTTCACTTTCACTCTCCTCAGCTTTTACTTTAACATGAGTTTGCACCCCATCACCATTGGGCTCTTCTGTACACTCCGTTTTTTCGTTGGTCTCATCTTCTTGATTAATGTGATCTGATTCGGTCACTTCTACATGACAATAAATCATCCAAGCAGCTCGACCTGATGATATGTAAATTTTTTAAGTAAGTTTCATATAATTATAATGAAGAAAATTAACACATACCGCTCAAATACATCCCGGGAATGCTCAATATGAGACTTGGACCCGCATATCCGACAAGTCGCGTCCATGGCGGGTACATGACATCACTAATAATAATAATAGTATCAATTTGAACTTCTTTCATTGCAAACAAAAACACCTCAACTCTCATGTCAAAATTAATTACCAGCTCAAATTACGTGGTTTCATGGAATTAAACTTGAAGTTAATTACCGCCAATATAGTAATCATTACAGATGGATATCCAAAGCACAATAGATGATACATGAGCTTGATCCTTCTATCGTCGCTTATGTTTAGCACTATGACTCTATATATTTGTATGGCAAAACATAGGGTTGTCATGCTTGTTGCATGAGCGAAGAAATTAAGCTAAACGCAAGAAATTTCAATTAATTCGGTAAGATTAATCGAAAAAATGACGTAGAAAGAGCGCATACCGCCAAGCCTTGAAATACACAAAATGCTCGGGGGGCATTGATTAGATCATCGCCATAAAACAAGGATAGCAGCACGACTAAATCCATGGAACCCACGAACATACAAATCATAGTAAGTAACGGGTTTTTCCGATTACGCCAGAATTTAAGCGTCAAGTGCACCATAGAAACGAACGAAATCATCCATAATGTGTTCAATATTGTTATTTGCAACAATCCCATTATGATAAAATTATGTTGTTTTTGGCGAAGAGATTATAGAGGTGCGAAGGAGTGTTAAGAGATAGTTAAATACATTACTGCGAAAGGTCTGATATTTTTGCGTTATCGCGTTTTATAATTTTGGTAATAGCGAATTACCATACATATTTAAACCTTATTATATTAACTCCTTAATATGGTCCATCCTATGCTGAAATTTTATGAAGAAACACTGCATAAAATATATTTACTCGTATCGTTGTGGATAAACAACCATTCTATTTTGACTTTATCCGGATTTGCAATGAATCATATGATATATGTTATGGAATCAGTCGCCTCCATAAATAAGACGACGATCCTGAAAGATTCGATGTGCAACTTTATCCTAGTTCAGTTGCCTCTGTTGGAATCACCGAGTGAACTGTTAATTCGTTTCCTTTTTTGACAATAGTATTTCTGCGTTGATATTTTTGTTGGTTTCGGTGTTTTCGCTGTGCCGTGGGTAAAATTTTCGTGTAAGATTATTAATCTGACGACGGAGAGGACATTATTTATAATACGAAAAATTCATATCATACTTTTAGGAAACCTCCATTTCGACAGACGCAATCTTTCATACTATAATTTATTATATCTTTGTGTTACCGGCATAAAATTTATATTGAGATCGTGTGTATGAATGCCATTAAAAATCTTTGGAAATTCGTAAATGAAAATTAACCATATACGCGAAATCTTAGTTAATCATTAAAATTATATTAAATTACGCTAACAAAAATTTTTTATTACATACAAGAATTGTAAGCTTACTTGTATCGGATAAATCGTATTAATATTAACAAATCTAAAAAATTTTACGATTCGATAATGTGACGTCAAATATTCCATAGATTTATTATAAAAATTTATCTTATATACAGTATTTTACAGTATATATTATTTCATATTATTTTTTTATTGTTCTGAAGCATAGAGAAGGATTGTGTATTTCTATATATTTTTGATAAAAATGTCTATTTGTTCATCCTGTATTAAAGAAATTTATTTATTATGTTTTCTAGTTATTAAATATTTTTTTTTGTATCTTTAGATATACATTTGATTTCTTTTCATATACTGTATATTTTATATTGATTCTTTGTTAATATTATTTTTTAAAAATTTTTTGGAATAAAATAGTTGAAAACCATTAAAAAATAACAAGAAATATACTGTATATTATATTTAAATTAACTGATTTTTTTACTTTTTTATATAATATAACAATGTTAAAGATTTTTGTTTATAATATTATTAATTAGAAATAAATAATTGGATTTTTCTAGAATTTAAAATCCTAAAAAGTTATTTTTTTTAATAAAATTATTTTTAAAGAAATATTAATATAATCAAAAAATTTTTAAAAAAAAATTATTAAAATAAACTGTTGAATTCCTTTATATTTATTATTATTATTTTTTTTTGACTATATACAATATATCAGTTTAAATAAAAATTTTATTTTGATAATTTGAAATGAAATATTTTTTTTATTTAAAATAACAATGTAAATTTTATTAATACTAATATATCAATAAAATAAAATATATAAGAGAATTTGTTTTATTAATTAATATATAATATATATAATAAAAGAGAAAACCAAATAAAAACAATTAATAATTAATAATTTATACAATTAATTAATATAGTATAATATCAAATTATTTATATAAATATTTTTTATAATTTAAATAAATCAAATAAGATTTAAACCTATGGGTCCATAGTACAGTAGTTAATACTTTACAGGTCAAATCACAAGATACCAGTTCAACTTTATGTGAATGTAGTTGAATAGAATTAATATGGTGTCTGGTACCATAATCAATTATATGCTGTTTCTCATAAGAAGCCATTTCATATATCAATCTGGCAGGCGTTGAGATTGTGATCTTCCCATTAAAGGCATAGTGGTGTAATGATCGTCCAGATGGTGTCACAATGATTATCTACAAAAGGAGCTATAGAATCACCCATATATTTGGAAATACAGACTGGACTATACTCCATCTTAACCAATCCCAATCCACTAGTCTCCTCCCCTTCCCTGCTGACTATCAAATAAGGAAGCTTTGAAGAAGAACACTGAACTGACACCTCCCTGTGTGACATGATTCCAATAATAGACTTAGGAGTTGTGCCCTGCTTAGTATTTATGCCTCTAGATTTGGCAGCTTAGCCAACTGGTCCAAAACTGAAGTGTTTACTAGGAGATTAAAGAATTTTTTAAAAGGAAGTGATATATCCAAAAAAGAAATTCCCTTTAAGGAGTCGCACTCCACTTGGTCACAAGGTTCCTAGATTTGATAGTTTAAAGTTAACCAATGGTCAAAACTGGAGCATTCATTAGGAAGTACATCAAGATGTTCAAGTTCTCTCTACACAACAGTTATATAAAAGTGAAAGTATAATATAATAAGCAACTTAGAAAATAAATCAGCAGTTCCCCTACTGCCTTTACATAAATTGGACCAGTAGGTTGGATGGTTTAAAACTAGTGATAGGATTTCTATTCCCTAGATAGGTTCTTTTCAAAAATATATGAATCCATTTCATGAGTGATATTAATATCATTAGGATAATAAAAGTAGATAAGCTAGTATTTGGTTGTTGTAATACAATAGAGGATATTTGATGTATATATGTATAAATTGATAATTATTCAATAAAAACCAGTGCATCTAATGCCATTCTACTATAAAAAAAAAAAAAAAAAAAGTCAAATAAGATTTATAATAAAAATTCTATTTATATTTAAGCAATTATCAATAATTTTTTTATATTTAACTTAAATTTAAATATTATATATTATATAATTTATATAATATTATTTAAATATTCTATATAATAATTATTTTTAAATATTTTTACTTTCAAAAGTTTTAAAAAAATATTGTATAAAATATTATATTTTTATTATTAAATTCTTTAATATTAATTTATTTGTATTACTTATTTATATATAATAATTTTTTTTTTTTTAGTTTATATATAATATTTCTTTTGTATTATATTATTCTTAAAAATAATTATAATATTATAATTCAAAAATTGGTTATTATAATTAAACTCATTTACTATTATTTAATTCCTTATAATATAACTTTTTAAATAATATATATTTAATTAAATTTCTTTTTTTTTTTTTTAATAATTTTACAATAAACTTTATATATTGTATGTAATATGTTTTAAAAAAATCTTTATTGTAACTTAACAAAAATTATTAAAAATAAAAATAAAAAATTTAAATATAATTAAATTAATATTTATAAAATAATTTTATTTAAAATTACTTTATTATTTATTTTATTATTTAATTTTGATATTTAATTTTTATCAAAAATTTTATATTATACTTTTTAATTTCTATTTGATTTCTATTTAAAAAAAAATAATATATATTTATTTTTTATATAGTTTTTGCTTTTTAAATAAAAGATTTTAAAAAATAAAATAAATGAATAGATTAATAAATTAAATAATTTTTCTTAAATAAATATTTATTTTTTAATTGTAAAAATTTTTATTATAATAAAAATTTTATAGTTTTTTTTGCAATATATTAGTATATATAATATTATTATTTTGAATATAATTAAAATTTGAAGACTTTATAGAATTTTGAAAATTTTAGTATTTTTAAAATTTGTATATAATATTTTATATTAAAAAAGTTATAAATAAAGTATTGTTTATAATTAATAAAGAAAAGCTTTATTGAATTAAAAAGAAATCAAATGATTTATTATTTTCTAAAAAAAAAAATTTATATATAAATGTGTTTTTTAATATAAATAATTAAAATATAAATATAAAATACAATAAAATATATATACTGTAATTTTATTAATTTTTTAAAGATTATATTGTTATTATCTTGGAAAAGAAGAATAAGAATTGTAATAATTTAGACTTGTAATAAATAAAATATTTTTATAAAATAAAAAAAAAACAGAAATAAAAAAAAAAAAATTAAAGAAATGATTTAAAATTTACTATTTAATATATATTAAAACTTTTAGTTTCTTGTTTGATAGACTTTTAAATTACTAATAACAATAATTTCCAATACTTAATTATTTAATTTATTTGATATATGTTATATTTTAAACAATATCAAATAAATTAATATGAATAATTAAATATTATTTTAATTAAATTTACAACTTTGCTCTAATTTTAATTTTAAAAAATACTATATATAAAAAAAAAATTATAATATAAAAATAAAATTATAATAAAATTTATAAGAATATAACAAAATAATATAGGAATTCAAAATATTTATATTATGGTTTTAATTATTTTTTTCTTAAGGTTAAAAAAAAAGTCTTTTTATAATGTTTTAATTAATTATAAATTATTTTATTATAATTATTTATATATGATTCATTTATTTTATACAATAAATAACAAAAAATGAAATTTTGTTTGAAGATTTATTTACGTAAAATAATATATACTATATACAGTATATACAGTATATATACAGTATGTATATTATCTTTATATGCTGTATTCCAAAATACTGTATATTATTTTACATTATGTAACTTGTCGCTTAGTACAAACAAATCATTCACGCTGTTACATAATTTCGTAAATTGAGCAAATAATCAATATACAGTATACAATCATATTTTACTCGCAATATGCATTTGTTGTTGAGTAGTATGCTGATGCTTATCGAAAGGAGGAAATTAGATATTTTGCTTTTGCTTTAAACGCTGTTAATAACAATATTGTGAGATCAGTTGTGCATACGTTAATATATCATACTAAACATTCATGCCACATCTGAAATATTTACCATGTTAAACCTTGAATTCATGATAACCATAAACCTTAGAACTTTAAGTCTATCATCCTTTCGAGCTGTAATGGATCTCCAGATTCTTATGAATGCCGCATTTCTTTCAATAGCCAGTCGTGCAAGTCGATTTACATGCTCATCATTATCTGACGCGAATTTGCCTATCATTTCTTGAGTGAAATCCATTAACTCTCCTAGTTCTTTATCTGACAAATGCTTCTTTCCTTTCTGAGGTTTCACATCACTATCTTCACGTTTCCTTTTCTCCGACTGTTTCATAATTTCACAACTCAGTTTCTTTTTAGCATCCCGCATTGTATTATATGCACACTCGTCTCCTATTATTTAATAAATGACAAATTTTTTCTCAATAAATATTTAAATAATAGATGAAATTACATGATTACAAATTACCAAGACAGTTAAACTAAAAGTTTATCACCTTTTCTAACGTTCAGCTTACTTTGGTTAGGTTTTTCTTCCGCCTTTTTGTCCTTTGTAGAAGCAACCTGTTCTTTTTTCGTTTTAATCGATTTTTTTATCTGTGTTTTTTTGAGAGGCTTTTTGTACCGTAAAGCTCTTGCTTTCTTAAGATATTGGTTGACTTTTTGAAGGAGTTCTTCCCCCTCCTCCTCAGGAGGAGTGTCGTCATTAAGCCACTTGTCTAGTTCTTGGTATTCCTTACGCATCGCTTCATATTGTTTCATTTGACCCCGTAATGAAGCCTTCAACGCCTCTGCCTTATTGCACTTTGATTTTAAAGGAGGCTTTAGCGCAATCAGATGGTCGATGGTTTCATCCAATGTTTCCTTTACGTTACCCTTGAGATTTTTTCTGACCCACTTTGCTAATCTGGTCATTGTAGAAAGAAACAAACGCGTAATTCTCAACTGCAGATCTGACGCGATCTCACTTATTTATTTACCATCACGGTAATCACGTGTTCATAGTAGTACAGTGAAGTTATTTTTCTGTGTAAGCTGAAAAAACTGTGTTTAATAGGTATGGAAAAGTTTCATGAGTGGAGAAGAAAATTCGAGAAAAATGTGTAATGTGTGTTTCGTGGGCGGAAGCCGGAAAACATTCCTTGTAGGCAGAGATCATAGATACGAGATTATTGTTAAAACATTAGTAGTAATAATACTTTACTATTCATATTTGAAGTTGGAAACTATCTGATTTCCATTATAATCTTTAATTGGAAACAATATTTAGCGCAACGCCTATATAAAGCAGGGTGAGCTTTGCTGATGCTGATTTTATCCTCCATTATTTGCAATGCGTGTGTCACGGTAATGAACACTCACACTTCGTGATTAAGTCTTGTTTAACATAGTATCGAATTTGAAAATTGGCATCAACGTTGGAGGTACGTTTTATTACCAATGAATAATATCTTTCGATATTTAAAATAAACCTTCATAATACTATTTGTCTCGACTTCTAGATCTTTTTTGGTTCTTTTGTAGATTAGCGTCCAACTCCGACAATTCCGACATTAATGTTCTTTGCTTCTCAAAGATTTTATCCAATTC